AACATTTCTAAACTTTTTTTTAAAGGAGCACTGTGTGACTAATTTTACCATGAAATTGATAAATATCAATAAACGAGTCAATGATTTTGTTAAATTTTTTAATATTTGTTCACATATTTGCAAGCATAGGCATGTAATCTACTTGTTTTACGCAAATGTGTTTTTCTTTATAAATTTAAATAGACGGGGTTCACTCACATTATCACACTTAAAAAGAAATAGTACATATTAGTAAAGTATAGTATGTTGAAATAAGTTAATGTTTTTGCAATGAAAAAAAGGTTATAAATAAGTTAGTGAAAAAATGTTACTAATTTATTATTATTAATTATTAGGTTGAATTAGTAATTTGGTCTTTAATTAGATCTTTGAAATTATTCTCTATATTTAATTTTTTTATCTTATATTTATTTTTGATAAGTGTGAAAAAGAGTTGTTTTTACACTTATAGATGAGTTCAATCTTGTAATTATTCATGTTGTTCGTCATTGAAAAAGTGTAGAAAGTTGTGTAAACATTGTACAGAAAATGTTGCATTATTTGGACTACTGTCAGTCATAATTCGCTAAGCGCAAGTGAGAATTCACAATGCTAGAAGGAAGTCATTCGCACAACGCACCAGTACTTTCAATTTTTTGTTAATTGAGTTTGATTTTTGTTAATTAAAGTCGATATGACTGTTTCTACTAAATTGATAATAACTTTGTTTTTAAAGTGACTACATGTAAGTTTAATAAAAAAATTAATTAATAATTTAGTTTTTATATTTTTCTTTTAACTCAATTGAGTTTTTAATTTTTTTTTATATGATAATGACGTGATTTTTATTTTGATGGTGTTGTTTTCCATGAATGTTGAAAACTAACCCAAAAATCATAATTGGATTCAAGTTTCAATTTTTAATAATGCAGTAGACAAAAACAAAAAATTTGAATTTGTGCTATTGAATTTAAAAGAGTTGAGTTTGGATCTGAAAGAAGTGATTTCTATGAAATAATTTAACCACCATTACGTCAACATTATATACGAAATAGTTACATGCTTGTGGTTTGTGGTTTTGTAAGACTTGAGGATGTATAATTAATGTATATTATAAAGTAGTTTAACTTTAAATTTTAAAGTGCTTTTTGTGAATGTATGCTATAAAATGTAGCTGTAAGTGAGAATTCTTCTCATTGATAATAATAAATAATAATAACCATATAACTAAAAGTACAAATGTTTTCACTGATGAAATAATTAGGAGACAGGAAAACAGAGTTCAAAATTGTAGACGCCGTTGACTCACAAAGTGTGCTTTTATTGGATATGATAGGTTGGTTGATAGGGTTGTTTTGTTACATAATCATTATGTCCAAAATTTCATATCAAAATTTTGTTTCATTAAGCAGCCTAGATTCAACAATTTTGGTTCCCAGAATAAATATTGTTTATTCAAATAATGCTTACTTCTAGAAAAATAATTTCTTTATTACATAAGCTTAAAGAGTGCATTACACTAAAACTTTTCAACTTAGTGGTTTGTTGATTAGAAATATAATGGCATTAGTTAAGAAATAAAATTTAAATTTAATTCAATCCTACCAAACTAATTTATAAAATGAGATTTATAATTATTTATATATTTTAAATTAGTCTTATTTTATAGAATTTTTAACACACTCTTCATATTGAGATATATATATATATATATATATATATATATATATATTATTTATATGTTATTAACTTCCCAACTGTGTGACTAGTTTAGGGTTTAATGATTTCCATCTAATGCAACTAGCTTAACTCAATTACAATTTCTCTTCTATAAACTTGTATGTGTTCAAGGGCAATTAGTTTAGCTTTTAATTATTATATGAGCCTAATGGACCAAATTTATTTTTATTTACTAAAGGCTAACTTTCTTTATAGATTTTTATAATGTTTTTGTTTTTAGGTTTTACTTTAGATATAGATTCCAGTATCATATTAGATATTTTACTTTGCCATAATGTCTGTGTGAGAATAGTTTGGTGAACTTTTCAATGTGAGCAATCTATTTTGTCAAATAAATGTTATGATACCTTGACTTCGGATTTAAAATTTTATCTGTTTTCATTAATGTTGGGTTTGTTTCTTAAAAGAAATACATTTAATTTTCATTCGGACATTGTTCCTCTTATAAAACGAGACAAAAACACAAATTATATGGACTTATGCTTTTAAGGATTTATTTATAATGTATTACACAAGTTTCATAAGATATAATAGAAATTTTTTAAATTTTTTGAAAATTTCAAACCTAACAAGAAAATCTTTAAAAATAAAAAACTAAACTCAGAATAATAAAATAAAGAAAAGAGAAAAGAAGATGAAAGAACAAGAGAGAAGAGAAGTGGGTGTTATGTTTTTTTGGAAGAATCAAATTAAATGTATTTATAAATTGAAAGATTACTTCTCCACCTTTATAAATGATAATCAACACAAATATGATCCTAAAACTGTGGTAAACTATAATTCCTTTTAATTCATTTTTTACTCGTGGATGTTTTTAAATGAGCAATTTATTAGTAGCACTGACATCCTATTCCATCTCTTTAAATAATTATGTTTTGGATTTCAGTTTTATGAATGAAAAATATGATTAAGAGGGAAATCCTATTAAAATTAGTCAATTAGATTTTTGCCCAAATATCAATCATCAATAAACTTTATATGTCATTCTCAAATCTATAGCAAGGATGATAAGTCACACTCAATTATCAGACCTAAGAAACAACAATTGTTGTATATATGTTGAAGGCTACAACCTCAAATGCTCAAATGTTAATTTGGTAGGGGACATTTTCAGCTAACTTCTTCACTGATAGAATATTAATTTGTCTTTGATTTTTAATTTGTATAGGTCCCATTTTGTTAAACAAATTCTCAAATAGATACAAAACTTATAGACCACATTGTCACTATGTGGATGTATTTTAGAGTTGTTGTGTCATATTCAAATCCAACTGTAACAAACAATGCAGTTAGTTGTTGGGCCTGGACCCAGTGGTCCAGCCTATGATGGGCTTCACGACATGCCCAAGAATAGTAAGCAAAGTAATTCTACCTCTCTAGGACTAAAATGTCACAAGCATCCTATAGTTCATCAATAAATTATTCTCACATGAAAATTTATTTAAAATAAAATAAATACAAAACATAAAAAATAAACTATAATAAAAATTACATATAATAAAATATTAAATTATTTATATTGTTATCTACTAAAACAGATTGCATTACTTACCCTCAAGCAGTTTAAGCTTAAGTTATACCAAACAAAAATGGTGATTGATAATTTTATATTACTTTTCCCCTTTTTATACTTCCCTTCTTCTTTTTTTAAGTTTTTATATTTAAACTATTCATTCTCTATTACCTCTCATCTATATTATCTATCATTTTTCTTTTTCATTTTCGTGATCTCTTGAATTTTTTTTTTAACAAATAGTTAAAAATTATTTTCAATAATATGTCTAACCTAATAGAAATTATTAATAAATGTCGTATCATCAATATAAAACCTCTAAATCTAAATCAGACTTATCAATACAAAAACATTAAAAAAAGAAATAAATTTGAAGAAGAATTGTAGAAGATGAGTGAAAATAAATTTAACATAAAGAAATACAAAACAATTGGGAAAAAAATATTTAAATAGTCAAATGGTGGATTTAGACAGATTATGCGATCTATAACACATCTACCATTTCGATGTTACATGTGGAACATCCTTTCAAACCAAGGTTTTTGAAACAAACAAAACAATATTTTACTTGGAATGGAGCAAATTAATGAACTCCGATATTTATATAGAAGAGGTATATATTAGAATAATACTCTTATTGATGTATTAACAAGTAAATCAATGAAGAAGCAATGTTAGACACAAACAACAAATTCCATTATTCATTACATAATTACAATTCCAATGTCTTATGACTACTATAAAATAAGATAATACATCTCCACTACCTCAAGCATATTGCAATTTAAAATATCTCATGCGTTTATATATCAAATATAAATTTGGTTTTCCCTTAAATATTATGAATTACGATGATGTTAGGGGGGATTCGGGATTGTTTGCCGTCAGTAAGGTGAATTCAGAATCCTGTTTAAAATCAGACGTCAAGGTTGGTAAGCATTTCTCTTAATATATATATATATATATATATATATATTATATATATATATATATATATCTATATATAATATATATATGATATGTGCAAGAAAAGAATATTGAAAGAGGGACAATTTTATGCACATGCTCTTTCTTTTCCTGCTGGGAATCCCATTTTTTGGTTGCCTTCAGACTGATATCTTAGCAAACTGCTATGTTCAAGCTACTGCAAGAATAGATACTGATATATTCTGCGACAGACATCTCCATCATACATGCATAGGCAGTTTACAAGTTCCCTTTACAAGACTTGTTAGCAACCTTTGAGAGAAGAAGAGTTACATGTTATCAGAGGAATCAAAGAAAAGAAAAGTTATACTATAAAACCGTCATCTTCATATATATTTCTATCTTTGACAACCTAAGTAAGCTTAGAGGATGCTATCCATACTCGTTAAACCACACAAAAAAAGGAATTGTACCAACTCAATCTTTAGAAGAGAAAGTTGTCTAGTGCAGATAAACATCAATATTAATTGACAAGAATCATCAACTAACCATATAATAAAAATAAAAATCCAAAAGAAAAAGATCCTCAGTGGACATTAGAGGCCACAAAAGGATAAACTCTTATCTAGCTACAAATGAGTGAATTGACAAAAAATAAATCGATATTCAGCAAATATTGGCACACCAGAACACCAAACTTTACTTTCCAGCATCCAATTTTGGCTTCGGCAGATACAGAAACTGTCTAATTTCAAATTACACTGTTCAACTTAGCAAAATAGAGAAGAAACTGAAAACAACAAATGGCTATCAATTCAATAAAAAAAACTAAACCCAGAAATAAAAAATAGGATTGAATAAAACAAGAATTATTCGATCCTAGTATACCATGAAAAAACTAAGTGGACAATATAGTACCACAAAGCTGAATATTGTATCAGCACATTACAAGGCAGACACCAATAGCTATCTAATTTTTTTATTTATTTTTTTGACACAGTTCATAACAACAAAAGCATAACATTATTCTTACCAAAATAAAATAAGAACCAACTAAAACCACTAGTAAAACCTTAATCCAGATTGAATCTGAGAAACAAGACCCAAGAAAAAAGAAGAATCATTCTGAACGATTGGCGAACCTCTCAACGTTGCTATCGCTCAAATTGATTCCAACCATGGCTTCACCCAAGCCGCAACTGACCTCAGCCAAAACCTCAGGGTCGCTGTAATGAGTGACGGCCTGAACAATGGCTCTAGCACGTTTGGCAGGGTCACCGCTCTTGAAGACGCCGGAGCCGACGAAGACGCCATCGCAGCCAAGCTGCATCATGAGGGCGGCATCGGCGGGAGTGGCGACGCCACCTGCGGCGAAGTGGACGACGGGAAGGCGGCCAAGCTGCTTGGTCTGCATGACAAGGTCGTAGGGCGCGGCAATGTTCTTGGCGAAGGTGAAAACTTCGTCGTCGTCCATGTTGCGGAGAACCCTAATGTCGCTCATCACAGAGCGGACGTGACGCACGGCCTCGATGATGTTGCCGGTGCCTGCCTCGCCCTTGGTGCGGATCATGGCGGCGCCCTCGCGGATGCGGCGGAGGGCTTCCCCGAGGTTGCGGCAGCCGCATACAAAGGGGATGCGGAAGTTGTGTTTGTTGATGTGATTTGCGTCATCGGCCAGTGTGAGAACCTCGCTCTCGTCGACGTAGTCGATGCCGATGGCCTCCAGGATCTGGGCCTCCACGAAGTGTCCGATGCGGGCCTTTGCCATCACGGGGATGGTAACGGCCCGCTTGATTTCCTTGATCAGCTGTGGGTCGCTCATGCGGGCCACACCACCCTGGGCCCGGATGTCGGCGGGTACCCGCTCGAGGGCCATGACCGCGCAGGCCCCGGCCTCTTCGGCGATGCGGGCCTGGTCGGCGTTGACAACATCCATGATGACACCGCCCCTGAGCATCTGGGCGAGGCCGACTTTGACGGAGAAGGGGGACTTCTTGGTTTCCGTGATGGCACCGTTGCCGTAGACGGTAACCACACCGGATCCTTCTCCTTCCATTGAGTGAGATAGAGGTGTGGACTGTGTGAGAAGGAAGAGAAAGAGAAAGAGAAAGAGAAGAGATTGTTGTTGTGCGGTGGGCAAAGAGAGAATGCTAATGAGATGTTTATGTAGTCCTCACATCTCTCTCCTTTCGGGCCTTTCCTGCCTTCAACCCTCCCAATCAAATGCAGCCACGCATTCATCCACTATCTCCTCCACATTTCATAATTATCTTCCCTTCTTCATCACTCTCCCTTTCATTTCCTATATTTATACCTTTTTCATTTCTTTTACTACCGTCTTTTATTATCTCTTTTATTTTTTTTCTTATATATAAATTTAAAAATATACCTTTTTTCAATTTCTAAACTATTATTTTTACATTCTTTTAACAAATATCTTCTAAAATTCCACTCCATATTTGTTTCTATATACATTTTATTATTCTGTTCATTTTTCGCCATTATTAGTCTATTCGGTATACAATTTATATTAATTATTATTTTTATTTCAAACAGATACATTAACCACTTGTATTTAATTTTATAATTATTATTTTGCTGTCACAAAAATATTTTGTATTTATTATATATTTATAAGAACACTTTTTTTTTCTTTTTTTGAGGTCACCTATTTACGAAGTGAGTCATATCTACAGATTTTTATTGAACTAGTCTTTTAAATTGTGTAAAAAAATATCTATTATATAATTAAAATTTATTATAGATATAAATAATACTGGAATATAATTTTAATGTAGTTAAATTTGTCATTAAATTCTTACCGGGATGAGAATAACTATTATTAAGTGTTTTTTGACATTTGATGTGCAAATAGAAATAAGTTTTTCATTTTTATTATCAGTAATATTTAACATATTAAATGTGAATAAATTAAAATTTACTATATTACATACAACTGAATTAATATTTGGTACTTACTGCATTAAATAGAAATAAATTAAAATATTCTAAAATTGAATATAAGATTATTTAATTAGTCTCTCCTCATTGTACAACTGGAAGAATGTGATTAAGACTTTATTTCTTAAACTTTCTTCCTATTGTTTATTTGAAATTGCATTATTTTTAAGTGAAACTACATATAATGTGAAATTAGTTCACAAAAATTATTCATATCTTATGTTTTTTACGTGTCTATGTGTTAGCACTTGTTTGACTGGTTTAGCTTTGTTCCCCTTTTATCATGTAACATATGTGTTTAGATTCTTGTTATGTTATTATTTGAAGGCAATTTGTGTCATATATGTGTACTGTCTCTACAGAAAAAGTATACTTTCTAAATGCTTCGAGAAACTTGGTCTTTTTAGTACCTTCGAGAAGGACATTCTTCTACATACCTCTAACCACAAAAAGTGCATTTATAAGATCAATATTTAGTTATTTATTTCTTTACGTAAGATCTCATTTTTTTATGTCTCCCGAATCATTCACCGTGTTGGAGTGTTATATCGATGTTCACAGTCAGACTAATTTAAGTTGTATTTTTGTCTAGTTTATCTTATTGTAAAATATATAAATAAATATATGTATATACACACACTAAACAATTTACCAAACAATCAACTAGACAATCTAAATCAAAATGCAAGAATTAATATTAACTTCTATTATTTTAATAAAAAAAACCTTAAATTTCAAACTTGTTTTTTAGAGTTCTATTTTCTCAGAAAATATCCTAATTAAACCAACAAAATTCCAATTTATCTAAAAATACAATCATGATCATAAAACAAGACAAATTCACTTAGAGCATCTTTCAATTATATTTATAATTATACATTTTACATGCAAACAAAAGAATAAAATAACTTAAAAAAAGTAAAAAAAATAACTTATTCTATTATTTACTTTGATGAGATCAATGTGTATAGAACTCTTTATTAGAAACAATCTTATGATCCTCGATAATAAAAAATATGAAAATTAGGAACAAAAATCTAGAAATAGGATAGACCATTTTCTAAATCTATTTATAATTTAAACATTTTATTATTAAAATATCATAATATTCTCTTTTAAAGACTACCACTACTATTAGACCATTTTCTAAATTTTCACATTTTGGGTTTAAATTTGTATGTGTTATATATAAGATAGTATTTGTTAGTTATGAGTGTAGTGGTATGTTTATCTTGTTAATTAGAATCTTTTATAAACATGTTTTTTTCTTACGAGAATAATGATTTTAAAAATTGAAGTTCGATTAATTAAGTTTTATCAGTAAGGAATTTTTTTTTTTACAATACCCTAGTAAATAAGTTAGAATGTGATATAACTTAGTCACAATGTTTTAAATTTGTAAAGAAAAAATATATACAATATGTGATAATGAATTGTTGAAAATAATGAAAATGGTGAATTTATACATTTGTCTGTGTAACTCTAAAAGTTTGCAATACAGTATAATGTGTAAATAAAAAAGTGAAGTTGAATAATAATCTTTATATTATTCAAAATTACATTATAGCATTGCTTAAAATATAACCACGTAGTATTATGATTTGTAATATTATAAAATTGTGATAATATAATAAGAAGATAAAATTAGTTTAAAATGATCTTATTTATAAACTAATACTGTTAAAATAAAATAATTGGAAGATTTGTTTTATCAAATTTGACACAACCCGATTGATAGAAATTTTTGCAAATTGATTTTTCTAAGTTTTTATTAACTATCTATGAATGATTTGTTTATTTAAATTGAAATTATGTTTTGATAAAAAAAATCAATATATTAATTATGAAAGTATGTAAAAAAAAATTCAATAACTTAACCAATGATTCCGATTAGACATAGTTTTAATATATATATATATAATCATGTTTTATTACGCTATTTGTTAAAACGTTTAATTATGGATTTGTTTTTTTTTTCAAAAAGGTATGCTATTTTTGTGGAAATATAATTTATTTTTAACAAAAAAGTAATTTAATGTGTTTTAATCATCTTCGAATGATTTATTAATATAATACCGTATTACTCCAACAAATGTCAAAAAGCTTAAAAAGTAATAAAATGATTATTTAATTCCTAGAGGGAATTTTTGTTTTATTATTGTAAGAACATAATAACCTAATTCTCCAAACAAAAGCGGTAGTATGCACGTGAACTTATTTTCCAACATTACCAATAAATAAACTTCATCTTGAATAATAATCTATTCTCGTGAATAATGATTATGAATATTAATAATAAAACCACCAGATTAATAGAGGATAAAAAGTTGTTTCATATGTAAAAAAAAAAAAAATTGTTCACAAGTTATGGAGGATAAATCAAGTATAAGCACTGTGAAAGCCGAGTTCTGTGTAAGTAAAATTGACAAAAAAAATGTTTATAATATATATATATATATATATATATATATATATATATATATATATATATAACATTTTTAGGACTATTTGTTTTCACTAGAAAAAAAATATGGAACAGTACTTGTAAGTTTTAAAGGTATTTTTTATTAAATAATTTTCTACTCACCGACTTATTTCATAAATGTGAAATACTAAATATAAATATCTGTATCAAAGTTTTTTGTTATAATGTCATTGAATTTAAAAGATTTGCTGAAATAAATATCTGCATTAAGTGTTTATTCATAATGTGTGATTGTGAGAACATTAAATGGGGGTGTCACGTATATCTTGTAGAGTGTATTTTACTTTTATAATCTTTTAGTAATATAACTTTAACAGAAATTATATTGGTACGTCATCTTAATCCTCTAGTTAATACTTTTATTTAATTTTTTTATTTTAATAATATTAATTATTTTTATTTTATGTTAAATGTTATATCGTGTAGCAGTAAAGATATCTTGAATGATTTTGTGTAATTTAAATGTAAGCAATAATTTTGTATGGTTTGATAACTTTTTGACAATATTGAGTTAAGTGAAAAGATAATAGAAATTCAAAATTTTGTATGATTTGAAGAAATATAATTATATAATAATTTATCATAATAAAATTGTGTTTTAAAATAAGTGATAAATTTTTATAAATATATCCACGCAGAAGCGTAAATGATAAAATGTACTATGTCTATATTACATTAATTATTATTTGAAATAGTGTAATAAGTACATGAAATTCATATAATATTCTTCTAATAACATTCTTTTACTCTTGAGAGGAGCCATGTTTGAATCAATTTGTAGCCAGAAGCTGTATAAAATTCTGATAATAGACCCTGTTTAACCCGTGTCATATCGTAGGCCAAAAAAATAAAAATAAAAAATCTAAAGGTGACTGATTTTTCAATTATCATCTTACAAGTGAGACAAGAAGGACAATACATGGATGTTCTAAGAACACGCTTACATATATAGTTGCATTTTTAATAAATAAATAAAAAACTCAACAGCACATTGTTTTTGGAATGAATAAATAATATACCTTTTTTTTTATTTTAATATGCTAAAATAAAATATGAATGTATCAATAATCATTTTTCTTTCTCAAAAAGTACCTCACTCGAATGAATTGTAACAATCATATTATAAATATTCTTTTATCTTTAAATGTTAATCATTGATTGTATTAATAAAAAATTCAAACATACAATTTCTTTTACCTTCCTTTCCAAACCTTTCAAATCAACTCTATATTTTGTAATCTTAAAAAAAAAACTCATAATTTATCTTTTCCGTCTAACTTTTATTATTAGACTACTCTTATTGCTGTAATCATATCATAAATATAATAGTGCTTCTGAAACGATGAAATAAAAAAGTAAATTTAAAAATATAAAGAGGTTTTAGAGGACGAGACAAAGGCATGATGGGAGCCATTGGTTTCCAATCTTGAGCAAAGAGAAGAGGAAATTGGATTTTGAATTCAACGTGTCCACTGCTATATTCATTTGTTCCTGAATTACAACTATTACTACGTCACACAACACAACAACATTAATTAATTGATTGTTTTATTGTTTTGTTCATCATGTGGTCTGGCGTCGCAGTGACTTATAACCAATTAGAGTATATGGTCTCTTTCATTGAATCCTCCTTTGCTTTTTACTTTGACTCTCTTTGGACCGTTTAACTTTTTTTATTAATAAAAAGTATTCCACTGATGTGATTCTCCATCTAAGGCTATTTTCATTTTCTTTCAAGGTTTAGAAAGGAAATAAAATTATTTTTTATTTATTTTATTTATTAATGATTGCACTATGAGATACAGACCCAGAAATATTCATGCGTAACTTGGACCCAGATCATAAAAGCATCCAAGCAAACATTTTACTCATATTCATCATATTTTTTTCCATTATTCTATATCATGTATTAAAAAAATACGAGTTAGTATAAATTTGTCAAACAAAACATGTATTATTAATTAATTAAGACATTCTGAACCTACGTAAATAGTAGACGGTAACATACTAATGGATGCTTACTTATAGAAAAATGTTTACTATGAGAAAAGAAAAAAGAATATTATAATAATAAAACAATAGTAAAGTAACAAAAAAAAAATAAAAAAAACGATAAACGTTACCCGCCACTTAATTTCTTTTCTCTCTCGTGTGCATATTCAAGTCCTCCATCACTCCTTTGTCTTCCACTTTGTACCTTCAATCTTCAATATTTTTAGAAACTGACTACACCATTAAGTAATTTAGGAAAATATAAGTATTTTGAACTGATGGTATTTTTAAATAGTATAATTTTTATATTTTTCATAAAATATTTCATCTCTTTGGTTGAATTTTGATTATCAGTCTTAGAAATAATCTTTGAAAGAAGTGATATTCTCGGTTTAATATATTTCTACCATATTTGAATGTTTTTGCAATAAACTCTAATTAAGAGTATTTCAATCATTGAGATGTAAAGTTTTAGTTTGAAAAAAATATTTTTAAATTATAGAAAGCTAGTAAAAGTTAAGAATATTCTTATTTTAAATTTATGGTAGTGATAATAAGATTGTGATAAACGTTTGTGATATTGAACTTTGTTTTGTAGAATGATTTATTATATTATGTTATTGAATTGAATTATGTAATTTGTATATATTGATATATGAAGTATAAGATTTTCATTTGAATTATCAGTAAGGTTTTACGTTAAACAAATTCTATTTTATAGTTCATAAGTATTAATTGATTATAGTTGTTATGTGAATCATGATCTATAAATGATAATAGAATATAGTTCCAACCGTAGTATAAAAAAACTTGTTTTAAGCTAAAATTTGATGGACCACATTTCAATACCTATGGAGTATGTAATAAAATAATCGCAATCTATAACATCTATTACACTTGTGTCTATTTATTAATATATTTTTATATAATGTTTTATGTGTTGGTTTTTTTCTGTGTAATTATATATATATATATATATATATATATATAATATGACTTCAAATAATTATATATATTAATGAACTAAATGTCAAAAAATATATTTTGTTTAATTTAAAACATAAAAGAGAAGAAGAAAATGCCACTGTATTAACTAGAAAATTAAATAATAATTTAATTAATAAAACACTTTAATTAAAACTAGTGAAAATACACATGTATAATGATAATAAAGATTTTATTTTTCATCATAATAATTATTCAAATAAAAAAATTTATAAAATAGTCTTTATAATATTATTATAAATATTTTTATTAAATAAATAATTTAATTATGGTATAGTGTTATTAATGTTAAATCAAACGGAAACAATGTCTAATTTTCTTATTATAATCAATCCAACTCAAGAAAAAATTATCTTAATCAATACTGAATAAAAAATTGTAGTTTTTATACTCATTAATAATATTTACGGTATAATTCTATCAGATCAACGTCCCCAGTGTAAACACACTAACATTTTCTACTTTTATGTACATAATAATAAAAATAAGGTTTAATTGGTTGGATTGTCCCTAGTTTGGCTGCAACGTGTCAAAGTAGTTCATCTTTTTAAAAAAATTTCAATTACGTACAAACTTGGTTTAAAAGTGTCAATTTCGTCCAAACGTATGTAAAAATTTGCTTCAATCAAGTCCCTTCCGTTAAATTCACCAAAACGGACGTTAATTTTTTAGTTTTCTCTCCTCTGCTTCTCTACTCTGCTCCTCTGGACATTATAAAATAATATAATGATAATATAAAATATAAAATAATACATTAAGCAATTATTAGAAAATTTGAAAATATTATGCATATATATTAAATGAAAAAAACAGTATACGTGGACTAAGTTATACAGAACTTCTGCACAGAGTAATGATTGTGGATGAAACTCTCATTTCTCATATATTTATACTTGGTTTTAGTTTATCTTACAAAAACATGAAAACTAAATCTAAACAAAAAGTATTCTTTTCACACCCATTTTCTGCTTCATTCGATAATTGCTTTTCGTAGTAAAATATTATATTAAAATAATAACAATAAATATAATTAAAATATTATAATTCGTAGTAAAATATTATCTAAAAATCAAATAATTCATTTTTCTGTTCTTTAACTAAAAAGGTATTTACAAAATTATTTATTTTGGTATAATATTGGTTGAACTGTTTCTACATATTTTCATTTTCTTTAAAAAAGAATTATACGTTTTGTGTTAATTATATATATATAATTTATCGTCATTAAAAGTATATTAAAAATATATATAAGATAATAGGATAAATCATATATATTTAAAATAATTTATTAATTAATTTATTTACTAAAATAGTTTTAAGATAATAAAATATAAGATAGATATTTATATTTGAGATTAATAAAATTATTTTACTTTAAAATACACACATATTTTAATTAATAGATACTTTTCTACCTTTCACTTTTTCTTCAATTAACAGCCACAATTCTCTATGTAATAAATCATATGTAGCTAGTGTAAAAAAAAGTGGAATAATAATTAGATAAAATCATTTTAGTTACATCGTGATCTGATTTAATTATGTAAATATTAAATTAAGTGAAAAACATTTTACTAAAGGAGCAAGCAGAGCATAGCAGCAGTAGCAGAGAAGCAGAGGAGAGAGAAAAAAAAATTAACGTCCGTTTATGGGATTTAACGGAAAGGACTTGATTGAAACAAATTTTACATACGTTTGGACAAAATTGACACTTTTAAACCAAGTTTGGACGTAATTGAAACTTTTTTAAAAAGATAGACTAACTTGACACGTTGCAGCCAAACTGTGGACAATGCAAGCAATTAAACCTAAAAATAATCTACCTATAATATATATATATATATATAATAGTATATATATATATAAGTCTATATTTTGTTACAAACATAGCAAATTCTTTATTTTCTAATGAGTTTTTTTTTTCATAGGAACCAGTGTAGCTCAGTTAGACATGAGCACCTTATCTTGTTATCCTCTGATAGAAACATTTTATTTTTCACTCTTTTACCTTTTATAGGCTCATGGTCTAATTGGACAATTTAATCTTTTCTAATTTTAAATGAATAAAAATATATGCAGTCCCACTAATAATTTCAGTTGTTTTCTAAAACTACATCTTTTTGTGTGTGTATATTACAATTTCATTAACAACAAAACCAATTCTTACACTTTTAGATTTTATTTCCTAGATTTTTATTAATCTAAAATAAAAAAACAAAATTAAGGAAGCTTCGGAAACTGAAGTTAAGATAAACACAGAAAAGAAACAAAGCAACAGTAACAAAAAAAAGGCAAGAATTCGAAACAAGAAGACAATAATAATACAGCTTCGGTTCCGAAGCTGCTCGTTACCGTTGTACCGTACCTAGAGTTTAAAATTGGCCCCGATTCAACACAGACGCAATCACAATCGCATCATTCTCTGCGTTTATCTCTCTTCCTCTGATTTCCAAAAATATTCCAAAAATGGTATCAAAGGTGAAGAGAGGACCAGTGAAGTCAATCAAGGACCTTCGTAACAACAACAACCGTCGTTGGCGCCGGAAAACTCCCATAAAAAATGTAGTGGCGGCATCCTCTGCTGCCCTGGCTTCCATCCGCCGCCGTATCACAAAACTCTTCTCAAAGATCGCGCGCATCAGCACCACCCACAAGAAAAAAGCAACCTCTTACAAGATCCTCAGAAAGATAACAACAACAGAAGAACACGAAGAACAACTCGATGCCATTCGCCGCACCCTGGTTTTCGACGACGCCACCGCCACACCGCTCCTCCCTCCGTCCATCTCCGTCCGTAAAACCGTGTTCCTTGACCTTGACGAAACGCTTGTCCACTCCCACCCCTCGCCGCCGCCGGAGCACTTTGATTTCGTCGTCCGGCCGGTCATCGACGGCCAGCCCATGGACTTCTATGTCCTCAAACGCCCCGGCGTCGACGAGTTCCTTGAGACCCTCGCCTCTAAGTATGAGGTTGTCGTTTTCACGGCGGCGCTAAGGGAGTACGCGTCCATGGTGCTGGACAGGCTGGACCGGAACCGGTTCATCTCGCACCGGCTCTACCGTGACTCGTGCCGCCACATAGACGGGAAGCTCGTGAAGGACCTTAACGAAACTGGTCGCGATCTGAAACGGGTGGTTATAGTGGATGATAACCCGAATTCCTTTTCGAACCAACCCGAGAATGCTATTCTGATTCGGCCCTTCGTGGATGATATTTTCGACCGGGAGCTTTGGAAATTGAGAAGCTTTTTTGATGGGTCTGATTGCTGTGATGACATGAGAGATGCTGTTAAGCGCTATCAGCAACGTTAGATTTCTTATTATTATTTGCATTTTGTTATTTTATTTATTTCCTTCCCTATGTGAGTTGAACTGAGTGTTTGTTCAATGTCTTGTAAGAAGGGAGGGGAAATGCTGTGTATTACTAATTCTTAAGTTAACTTTAATTGATGCGTTAGTTATTCGTTCTTTCTCTGTCAGTATGTTTTCTAATAATGGCTCTAATAATTCTTAAGTACACTTCCATTAAGACATGATATTGAGTTAAAGGATTTGCAGCAAATGACAATCCTCTAATATAAGAACCCTACAATCATGATTGCATTTTTTGACTCCAATGAACATTTTACAACAGGGGGACTATTTCCAATTAAAATGCTCAAGTGTTCCAAAATTGTGTTTAAACTGCAATTCCCCTCCCTTTTCGTTTAAATTGCAAAGGTTTGAGATTGATTGTATGCACTCCATCAAGACCTTAAAATCTAACCAAAATGGTTTGCTTGCAATTACCTTTCTTGCTTTGTCCAAGACTGGCATGTTCGATGAAAATGTTATATCCAAGCTGCCACATATTAGCAGGAAAGGTAACCTAGTCTCTTGTACTTACAGGTTAGCAAAACTAGCTTGCCCTACGTGTGAACAGTTTTGGCTCAAGGAAGGACATCTTAAGCCCGAAAAATGGTTTATGGATTCCTACAATATCGATCAACAGTCGAGAATGCAGTGTATGTGTATCTTTGTTCCTGGGATAATGAGAACATGTTATGGTATCTTTTGGATTGGCCAACCTTTTCTAACACTTAATTACCTAGAATATTTTCTTAAATGAAAAAGGATCTTCCAAACTGATTACATAGGATTTCAACACTCATTGTTGCATAATAATATCTTAGGGGGTGAATACAAAATTTTCACTTAGCGACAAAATATCTCTCTAATTAACAAAGCAGATTAAAATTAATTCAATCAATTTTTTCACTGTTGAATTATTCTTCAATTTACCTTTTAAAAAGTTCCTAAAAATATTTTTTTAAATATGTTTTACAAAATTTATTTTTGAAGTTTTTTAAATATCATTTTTCTTACAAAATTTATTTTTCAAAAATTTTTAAAGACATAAATTATGAAAATTGTGAGTTTAAGTTTTAAATTTAGTAAAGATAAAAATGTTAAACAATACAGAAGGAAGAACTCATTTTGTAAATCTTTTCGAAAAATCCATCACCGGTGACCTTCGTTGTTATAGTATGTATGTCTCTAATAGAATACTAAAATAAGAAATAAACTTTAAATTTAATTTAATTTTACAATCAATTATATATATATATATATATATATATATATATATAT